AAGTTCCTTTATTGTACAGGGTTGTTTTGGCTATCCTGAGTATTTTGTTTTTCCATATAAAGTTGAGTATTGTTCTTTCAAGGTCTGTGAAGAATTGTACTGGAATGTTGATGGGGATTGCATTGAATCTCTAGATGGCTTTTGGCAAGATTGCCATTTTTCCTATCTTTAACCAGCTATCCAAGACATGGAAATCTTTTCATTTTCTGGAATCTTCTGTAATATCTTTCTTTAAAAACTGAAAATTCTTGTTAAACAAATCTTTCATTTGTTTGTTTAGTTTTAACCCATGATTTTTATGTTATTTGTGGCTATTGTAAAGGGTATGTTTCGATTTCTTTCTCAGCACTTTTATCATCTGTATATATTAGGGCTACTGATTTGTTGAGTTAATCTTGTATCCTGCTACTTTGCTGAAGGTGTATATCAGCTATAGGAATTTTTTGGTAGAATTTTTCTGGTTACTTATGTAAACTACCACACCATCTGCAAATAATGAATGTTTGACTTTTACCTTTTCAATTTGTGTCCCATGGATCTCCTTTTGTTTTCTTATTGTTCTAGCTAGAAGTTCAAGTACAATATTGAAGAGATATGAAGAGAGTGGACAACCTTTTTTCTTCCTGATTTTAGAGGAATCATGTTCAGTTTCTATCGATTTAGTTTGAGAGCCCTTCTGCAATAATAAAATGTCTGTGTCTCATCCTTAATGGCATTGGGTAGCTGGGACCTCCCTCATCCACACTCCACCACTCAGGGTCAGACCTGGGGCTGTTTTTCTGGTTCCAATCACAGCCCAAAGACATCAGTCCAGAATAGATGGCCTCTGTAGCATGGGACTGATACAGGCTGGACCCCTGGCAAAAGACCTTATGATTCTGCCCAAAAATCAGAATTATATGCTATTATCATGTTGTTGATGAAACATAATGAAGCTCTCAACATAGTTACTGATTTGCAATATGCAGAGTTGTTTTGCATATCCAACTGCTGAATTTATACAAGATGGTAGAGAATTGACTTTATTATTTATTCAGTTACAATAAATAAAAAGAAATAGGAGTCATCCCATATATATAACACACATCAGATACCATACAGGTTTTCTAGGCCCTCTAGCAGAAGGTAATGATTAAGTTGATTAAATATTGATAGGAAATGTGATGGAGTTCTCGGGATTTCATGAAAAACATAGTGTCAACAGCAAAGGTTTGAAAAAAGATTTTATATCCCATGATAACAAGCCAAGGAAATAAAAATATGTCCCACTTTTTCTTTATATAAGCAAACTCCACTACCTACAGGAAGAGTACTCAAAGAAATAAAATATTGCAGATGGATACATTTCATTTAGTAGAATTTGAAAAATTAAAATACGTACACCATACCATTGACACTTATTCAGGATTCAATGAGAACTGCTTTGTGCTCTGAAAAGGATGATTCTCTAAATCACACATTTGTTACACACTATGGCCATCAAGGGAATACTTGTACAAATCAAGACTGACAATTCTCCAGCATATCTCTCTAGTAAAGTGAAACAGTTTTTTGCTTATTACAATATAAAACATATTACAGGTATACCACACAATTACAATGGGCAAGTTATAGAAAGATCAAAATAAACTCTAACAGATATGATAAACAAATAGAAAGGGGTAATAAAGACACCATAAATGGATTGTATAATGCTTTATTAACTTTGAATTTTCTGAGTGCTAATGATAAAGGAATGACAGCTACACAGAGACATTGGATAATAATAATAAAACCTGCAGAATTTAGTCAGCCTGTATACTTTAAAGATGTGCTGACCTCAGAATAAAAACCAGGATATTTGCTTTCTTGGGGAAGGAGTTTTGCTTTTGTTTCCACAGGAGAAGAACTGCTATGAATACCATCAAAATTGATAAAGATTAAATTTGAACAAGAAATACCTCTTGATAAGAAGAGGAGATAGTTAATCAAATGGACTAGCCATTCAATCTAGTCTAACTTCAAAACTAACAAATGCTATTTATTAGAAAAGACATAACTTACCATAAGGGAACCTCCCCAAAATTAGTGTTGGAGAAGGGAATTATTTTTGACTTTTTAGGAGAATGAAGACATCCAGCTAATGAATCTAAAGACCACTGGAAAAATGAGACATCTGAAGAGAAAGGACAAGTCATCCATGTTGGGCCCTTCCCCCATAGGGGTCTGCTGACCAGCTTGAGACTAGGAGCTTCAGGTACATCCTGTTTTCTTCCTTCCTTGAAGGCCTGAGTGCAAGTTCCAGTTATCCTGTTATTCACCCATTCAGGATTGCCTGATGGGCCTGGGAACCTGAACTTGTGATCTGGGTAATTTTCCACCATGCCTGCTGACTGGTATATAAGCCCCCACTCTTGTTGGAATAAATGGCATTCTCCCTGCAAAAAAGACCTGCTGTCTTGTCTTTATTTAAATCCTCAAGCCCCTCGCCCTATACTGTGGAAGTGTTGTAGTGCAGGTGCTATACACCCAAACAACAAAAGTCCAAATAAAAGACTGAATTGGCCCAATAGGAAATCACATTTCCATTAAAATAAAATTTTATAAGTCTTCCCAAATGTTTGTTTTTGCTTTTCTCTACAAGTATATAATGCAAATTTTTTTTTTAGTCCCAGTATAATTAAAAGTTAAAACTGGCTTTGGAGTTGAAGTGTGCTTCTCTCCTTCTCTAATCCCAAGCATGTTTGTTAAAGTAAAATAAAAAATCTCTGTCTCAAGAGGGAGGGCAAGGAAAAAGATATCTTGATTGATGGAGTCATTATGGAGCTAATGAGAAACACTTAGGAAATTCCCAGGAATCCTCAAAAATGACCCCAACTAAGACCCTAAGCATTAGTGGAGAGGATAGCTAAACTGGCCTGTAATCCGATTGTTGACTACCCGAATTGTCATTATAGAACTTTCATCTCGAGCAACTGATGGAGGCAGATGTAGACATCCACAGCTAAGCATTGGGAGTCCAGTTGAAGAAAGGGAGGAAAAACAATATGAGCAAAGTGGTCAAGACCAGTTTGGGGATATTCACATAGCCAGAACAGATGACCAATGGGAGCTCATTGACTCTGGAATGACAGCTGGGGAACCTGCATAGGACCAAATTGGGGCCTCTGAATGTATGTGACTGTTGTGTGGTTTGGGCAGTCTGTGAGGCCACTGGCAGTGGGATCAGGATTTATCACTAGTGCTTGAACTGACTTTTTGGAGCACATTCTCTGTGGAGGGATACCTTGCTCAGCCTGCTTATAGGGGGAGGGCCTTGTTACTGGCTCAAAGAGATGTGAAAGATTTTGTTGACTCCCCATAGAAAGCCTCACTCTCTCCAAGTGGTATGGGGTAGGCTAGGAGGAAGGTGGGTAGAGCTGGAAATGGGGATGGAGTGGGAACTAGGATTAGTATGTAAACTGAGAAAAGATTGTTTTAAAATTTTAAAAAATGTCTAAAAAAGAATATAAAAAATCTCATGTCAAGAGCTACCTGATATGGGGCAGAAGAAAAACAAAAATTAAAGGACTATTTTATTGCCACTAATCTCACAATCCTTTGGTTCTATTTTGGGTATTTGAAGCTATCATTAAGATACAAATATTTTCTCAAAATTTATAAGGTTAATATATATATATATATATATATATTATTTTGTCATGATATTAATGGTCATATAGAGTACTAATTGACTCTAGAAAAGGGCTTCATCTAGCTTCCTGTACATGATTTCAGGATTGAGTATCACGTAACTAAAATTTAAGTTATTGTACTCTGGTTGTACATAACAAATATTGATCCTTTAACTTCTTTGACATCTGCTGGATATGACATTTAAAATGTTTAAGTTTTCTGCAGTGAACTATGACCACACCAAAGAGTGACCTTTGACATCTCCATAAGGATGATGGAGCCCTATAATGATGATTACACCAGTGATGATGGGGCCCTACAATGGTGATTGCACAAAGACTATGATAATATCACTAAGTAAAAGACAAACAAACAAACAAAAAACACCATTGAAAGATTGACTTTGGACCACAAACTGCTCAAGACAATTTTGAGGTGGCTAGCTGAGATGATATAGCCTTACAGAGTACTCTAGCTAGGATTTCAGACAAGACCTGCACTTTCCCATTACACAGAACTGGACAAAAAATGATTCAGATAACTCTCCCAGGACTTAACAATTAACCCAAATTTTTGTTTTCAGTATCTACTAAAACTGCTGTTACTCCCAGACAGCAGAGAGTAAATTTAAGAATATCACTCCCGCATCACCCAAGAGGTAGGGTGTGGGGGTTTGGTTGTTCGATGGGCTATGAATATTGTCATTGTTTAGGGGGTTAGTTACAAGTTGTTAATGCACTGACCATGAAAAAATTTGAACAAAGATTAGATTCACTGTTCTTGTTTTGGAAAAAAAAAAGAAGACATATAGATATTATAGGATATAACGGTAGATCATCGAATTGACTTTGAAAAGAAAAAAAGGTGATTTAGAAATAGAATAAAAAGATAGATAATTGAATCTACCCATAAACCAGTAAAGCAATGACTATTTTTAAATATTTTACAATGGTTTGGATTTTTCTATATTGATACAAAGTTGATATTATTTTTTAGAACATACTGTACATACATTTCTAATCTTGCTCAAGGTATTATACCTATGCAATTAATTTAACAATGTTAAGCAAATATCTAGCCCTTGAAGGTTATTATTACCAACTTTTAAGCATAATAAGGAAATTCAGGGTAGTTATTAGTCACTTATTACAATCAAACTTATAGCATATTAGGTATGTTTTCAAGGTCAAGCAGATAGATAGATAGTCATCTTCAAACACTTCAGAGATCTATAGAATATGGCATTTAAGATGTTTTAATAACATAGGTTCTTTTTATGATAATGAGAAAATATCTTATGACAATGACAATGTTTCATGACAATGGCAATGTCTACTTCTGGCAGCACCAATCTAATTTGGAGAAGATGATGGGCATTGAACAAACTCCACATGGAGATTACTTTGTTTGTTTCAAAAGTTAGCCACTGGGCAAGAAAGTGTCCTTGCTTTGACTGCTGAAAGTATGATGTCCAAATTGGACCACCAGAACACAAAAGAAAGGACTGCCAAAGCAAAACTTTGCCAAGACAAGGTAGGGCAATGCTTTAGAATATCCTACCTCATAGAAAACTCTGTCAGATATGCTAAGCTTATAGGCTAAAGATGGATACCCCAATGTTGCAGAGCGACCTTGGGTTACTCTCCAGGGAGTCAGCAGTTTCTGTCATTTCTCACATTTGTTGGAAGTCACTTGCTTGTACTTCTTGCTTTATCTGATAATATTATTTCCTTCTCAGGTCTCTAGTGGAGTTGAAGAATTTATAGTTGTAGTTTTACTTTTCCTTGTTACCAGACTCAGGAAAGAAATTCACTAAAGGAATGTAAAGTGTATAAGGTTGAAAGACATAAAAAAGATAGTTTTGGTAATTTAAGTGAGAATAGAAAGTGATTTAGGTATAATCTTTTGGACTCACCAAGATAGGATAGATATGGAGCATTTTCTATGAATTTGTCAATTGTTAATGGACTACACAATTGTTGATGTATTTATTGCCTGTATATATTGTGTATCATTATTGTATTTATTTTTTATAGTTTTCCTCATATTAGTTATAACCTTTCTTTTGATTTTTAGACAAAAGGTGGATGTGGTGATATTTATACTCTAACAAATAATACTTGCCTGAAGACCAGAGGGTGGAGGTAGCCACTAGTTAATCAGAGAAGTCTCTTCGCCAGTCCAGTAATTCCATAAGTTCAGAAAGTCAGTCCTATAATTGTATTAATAAACACATGTAGTCATTTTATCCCCTTAATGTTAAAGGGATTTTGTAGGCAAATAGTTTGTTTTCCAGAATGTTCTTAGAAATACACTTCACAAAAGAATGAATACTTCAGTTTAGTGAGACTTAAGAGTTAGGGGGAAAAAGTTTCCCCATGGCTTTCTAGAAACTGTCATCAAAGCACATCTAGCTGATCTATGTTTAATCCCCACTAATCAATCTGTCAATTCTATAGTCTGGAAGAGATTTTAAACCAATATAATCAAGACTGTTAGAGCAAGTCATTGATTCTTTGTATTGCTTTGTTTGCTTCTATTTTATTGATTTCAACCCTGAATTTGATCATTTCCCCATATTTACTCCTCTTCAGTGTTTTTATTTCTTTTTGTTCTAGAGACATAAGGTGCTGTCAAGGTGCTAAGATGAGACATCATTAATTTTTTATGAAGGCATTTAGTACTATGAACTTTTCTCTTAGTCCAGATAATAGTTTCTGTGGTTTTATTTTCTTGTCACTTATTTGTGTCCCATAATTTTGTGTAAGTTTTGAATTCATTTTCATTGACTTCCAGAAGTCTTTAATTTCTTTCTTTCTTTCTTGACTCAGTATGGAGTGTTTAATTTCCATGAGTTTGTAAGCTTTCTTGTTTCTGTTATTGTTGAAATCTACATATCCTATCAGACACATGGTGGTCTGATATGATACAGGGCATTATTTCATTTTTCTCATTTATGCAGAGGCTTGTTTTGTGACCAAGCATGTGGTCAGTTTTAAGGAAATTCTGTGAGGTACTGAGAAGTAGGTATATTTTTCTGTTTGAGTGAAATGTTCCATAGATATCTGTAAGGCCCATTTAAGGCATAATGTTAGCTCCATGATTTCTCTGTTTAGATTTTGTCTGGAAGACCTGTCCATGGGTGAGATTGGTATATTGAAGTTGCCTACTATTAATGTGTGTGGTTCAATGTGTGACTCTACCTTTAATAATGCTTCTGTTATGAATGAGATTGCCCTTGCATTTGTGCAGAGATGTTAAGACGTGAAATGTCATCTTGGTGGATATTTTCCTTTGATAAGTATGAAATGTCCTTCTCCATCTCTTTTAAATAATTTTGGTTTTCAGTCTATTTTGTCAGACATTAGAATAACAACACTAGCATGCTTCTTGGGTACAAATCTTTTTCCAATCCTTTACTCTGAGGTAATGTCTATATTTGATAATGAAGTGTATTTCTTATATGCACCAGAAGGACAGATCCTGTTTTTGTATCCATTCTGTTAACTTTCGTCTTTTTAGTGGCAAATTGAATCCATTGATATTGAGAGGAATTAATGACCAGTGATCATTAATTTCTGTTATTTTGTTGTTGGTGGTTGAAATGTGTGTGTGTGTGTGTGTGTGTGTGTGTGTGTGTGTGTGTGTGTGTGTGTGTGTTTCCCTTCTTTGTAATATTTTGCTGGTGTGAGATTCTTTATTCCCTATATTTTCATGGATGTAGTTAATCTCCTTGGTTTGGAGTTTTCCTTCTAGTACCTTCTGTAGAGCTGGATTTTTGAAGAGATGTTGTTTAAATTTGGCTTTGGTGTGACATTCTCCATTGTGTGACTGAAAGTTTTCCTAGATATCATAGTCTGAGCTGGCTTCTGTGGTCTCGTAGAATCTACAAGACATCTATCGAGGTGTTTCTGCCTTTTAGGGTTTCCACTGACAAGCTGGGTATAATTCTAATAGATCTGATTTATATGTTACTTGACTTTTTTCACTTCCAGTTATTAATACTCTTTCATTGTTCTGTATGTTTCATGTTTTGATTATTATGTGACTAAGGAACTTTCTTTTCTGGTCCAATCTATTTGGTGTTCTGTAAGCTTCTTGTTACCTTTAGGAATGTCCTTCATTAGGTTAGGAAATTTTTCTTGTATGATTTTGTTAAAAATTTTTTTCTGAGTCTTTGTGCTGAGTCTTTCTCCTTCTATTCCTATTATTCTTAGGTTTGTTCGCTTTTTCATAGTGCTCCAGATTTCCTGAATATTTTGTTGTCAGGAGCCAGCTCCTTACAAGAGGCCTTGCGACATTCATGCTCAGCTAACCTCCAATTAGTCAAGAGCCCCACCCCTTAGGTTCTGGGACACCTGCCCTGGCCTGAGAGCAATTAACACCCATTCCTCCCCCAATACCTCTTTCTCTACTTCCTCCTTTCTCTTTAAAAAAACCCTTGATTATAATCAATAAAATTAGACCTTGACAAGGACACTGCTTGGTCTTGCTTCTCTTTCTCACCCATTTATTTTCAGGGTTGGTCCCCCCTTGAACCCACGAATTACCAGAACCCCGAGGGCCAGGGCATTTTGTGTTAGGAATTATTTAAATTTAATATTTCCTTTGACTGATAAATCTATTTCTTCTGTTGCATTTTCAACAACTGAAATTCTGTCTTCAATCTTGTGTATTCTGTTAGTGATGCCTGTGTCTGTAGTTCCTGTTAAGTTACCTAGATTTTTCTTTTTCCAGAATTCCCTCCTTATTTGTTTTTTATTGCTCTATTTCCATTTTCGTGTATTAAATAGTTTCCTTCATCTGTTTAATTTTTTCCTGGCTTACTTGGCATTTTTTAAGAGATTTACTGATTTTCTCCAATTTTTTGTTTCTCTTTTTCTTGATTTTTTTAAGTTTTTTTTTCAAATTCCTGTTTAAAATCTTCTATCATTGTCATGTAATTAGTTTTAAGGTCACTTTCTCGTGTGTCACCTATGTTAGAATATTCAGGTCTTGATATTATACAATAACTGGGCCCTGGTGTTACTATATTTCCCTGGTTGTTGTTGATTGTGTTCTTACTCTGGCATTTAGGTTTTTGTGTTTGGCATGATTGCAGATCTAGGTGCTGATTTCTGAGTTTGTCGTTGTTGGGTAAGCATTTTTTCTTTCTTTTTTTTTTCTCTTTTGTCTTGTGGTCTTTGGATTTCTGGTGACAGGTGTGACCTCTAATCCACTAGGGAGTCTCCTTCCAATTTTGGCCTGGATTTCTGGCAGCTAGCTTGGGTTTGTTGCAGCAGGGGGAGTCTTTACCTAAATTGAGGTTCAGAATATGATGATGAAGAAAGCAGTGGCAGGGGATCATTAGGTTACTGAGTGGAGGAAATCTGGTGGCAGGTGTGGCCTCTGTCCAACAGAGAATCTCTGCCTGAGTTCGCCTGTTTTTCTGGCTTGCTTGGCCTATACCTGTTCTTCAAGTTGTTGTGGCCTGCACCTGTTCTGCTGACAAGCATGGCCTATACCTTGCATCAGAGGTCCATCTTGATTGGGGGTAAGGGCCAAGAAGTCGTACAGTGGGTGAGATGGGTGGAGGAAGAAGTGGAATGGGTCTTTAGGACCCTGATCTAGTGAGTGGGGCAATTCAACTGGCAGGCGGATCATTAAATAGTTCTTCTGAAGGGTGTGGCCTGTACCTGAGCAGTGGCAGTCCATCAGAGTTTGGAGTTGGAGTGCCTGCAACTGGTGATATTCACTTATGCATGAATATACATCATATACATATTTTCTGCGTGTTTCTTACTCAGTATGATTTTTTCTAGTTGTATCCATTTGTCTGCAAATTTCATAATGTCAGTTTTTTAGCATCCTAATTATACTTCATTGAGTAATTGTACTATGTTTTCTTTATCCATTCTTCTGTTTAGGGAAATCTAGGTTGTTTCCAGTTTGGGGCTACTAATAATCCACAATGTTAATCCAGTGTCCAGGTGTTAAATGATAACCAAGCTACAATCCATAGACACAGATATGTTAGGTAAAGAGGAAGGGGTATGCATGGATCTCTCTGGGAAGGGGGTAAAAGAATATATTTTATTGTCAAACTGGTGGTGGTTAGGGATGTGAGGAGTTGAATGAGGGTACAGGCTCAGGTGGGGGTGAGATGAGGTGGAAGGAGAAAGTGCAGGGACAGACAACTAGAATTGGGGTCATTTGAGGGATATGTGTAAACATATTTCAGAGGAAACTTTCTGAAATCTCTGAAGGTGATCCTATTTAGGACTACTAGAAATGGGGGATATAGAGTCTCAACAGACTATCTCTTGTCACCAGGCAAAGAAAACTAGGTGGTATTCAAATAAGTTGTTGGCCAAGGGGTCCAGTTGAAATCCCCAAACAACCCAGGCTATTGCTAAGACAAATGGTTGCTCTCCACAAACTGGCAGGAGGGCTCATTTTTTTAGGACAACATCTACACAACACATTGAACATTGAGAAGTTGGGCTGGATCCTAGAGGGATCTTTTACCCCTATGTTCTAGTCTCTTTGGTGTG